ATTTAATTTAATTTAATTTAATTTAATTTAATTTATACCCCGCCCATTTAGACTCAAGTCTACTCTGGGTGGCTTAATAATAAAAAAATGGCATAAATGTGATATAATAAAATAGAGAACAACAATAGAATATCGTTCAAGATGGGAAAAGATAAAAATAATCAAGTGATGACAGGAGGGAAAGCCTGCCTAAAGAGCCAGATCTTAAGTTGGCTACTAGCCAGATAGCTATATATGACCTCCAGTACCACAGGCAGTATGCCTCTAAAACTAATGGAAACTCTATAGGGAGGAGGGTGCTATTGTACTTGTGTTCTGTTTATGGGTTTCCTAGAGAGAAACGTAATACTGAACCACATAGACCTTGGTCTAATCCAGCAGGACACTTACAATCTTACCTCTTGCAAGACTTCATTGGCCAAGAAGCGGCAGTCACCCTCCTCCACTTGTGGATTGGTTATGGATGTTACGTGCCCAAGGTCCCCTAACAGAGAGAAAATGGTGAGATATACAACATATTATATACAGACCAGTGATTTTCAAAAAGTCCTAACTTCAAAGACCCCTTCCTACATTCGGAACTCATCTGCCGAAGAACCCCAGCATGCTGGCTACAGGAATCCAATGGCTGGAATCTTCCATTGAACAGAAGATTCCATTCAACAGTGAACTTTATGTTAATGGAGTTGTGTCAGCAGATGAAGTAATGAGATTCTGGCCTCTGAGTTCCACAATAATACATCTCCTGGGGGAATGGCAAGCATCTCTTTCAAGGAAATATGAGTTGCACCATGTGAACTGTAATGCACTGTTAAGTTGCTTTTGACTTATATTTTTTTCTCATAGCATTGTTTGTGACATGTTCATGGAGTGGGTTACCATTGCCACTCTGCAGTGAATTTCCATGACTGAGTGGGGGTTTGAACCCAGATCTCCTAAGACTTAGCTAAACACTGTATCCTCCACATTGCTCTCTATGTGAACTTATCTTAGCGACCTGCAGTCACTTTCCTGATTCTGTGCAGTGAACAGGAATTGACCGTTGTTCTTGCAGTGATTCTGTCCTCTTTCTGCATTGAATTAGAACTATCACCCTGTACCCTCACCTGTTTAATAAATCTGATCCCCACTCCCTGTGTAACCATCACCATCAAGACCTTGGAGGCATTTACTCCTACATAAAAGGAAAGAGATCAGCATATGACGCTCAGGACCCAGCTGGGAAAGTGTTTTACACCACGCTGTTCGAAGATGAGGACATGATTTAGCTACACACCAATTTTATACACCACACTAGAAGAGGCAAATCCATCATCTTCACTGTCACTCTCCTCCTGACCAGCAGGTCCAATCAGCTTGTGGCATATAAAGATATTGCCTATAATTAGGGAAAAACAAAAATTATATTTATTTAAAATATTTTGCTCCACCTTTCTCCTTAAAAGGACACATAGACACTTGCAATGTCCATGTAGATAAATTATACTATCAATAGCCATTGCAGTTTGCATTTTACAAGCATCTAGCTACAAATTATTAACCATCACCAGAGGTTGCATTCTGTGAATAAAAATGGGGAACTGTGGGAGTTCCCATCACATATGAGGTAACTTTGCCTTTTGCTGGGCTCTGGCTGATCCTCTGGCTGTACCCATCATCTTCCAAGAATCACATCAGTCAGTTTTCTGGTGATCACAGATAATGCTGTAGGCTCTCTATTATTAGATTTCATACAATAACAAAACAAGATGGAGACTTCGTAGTTGATCTACAAAGTTGATGCGAGAAATTCGGAGTTAGAAAATTGCCAACAGATGATTGCCCAGACTCTGTCTGAAAATACCCAACAAAGCAGAGCCCACCATGACTCTAGTTCAATGATTCCCAATCTTCAGTAACTGAGATGTTATTGGACTGCAACTCCCAGAAACCCCAGACAGCATAGCTAGCGGTGAAGGCTTCTGGAAGTTGCAGTCCAAGAACACTTGGGTTACCTAAGGTTGGGAACCACTGCTTTAGATCATTGGATCTATTCCGGAAGTTTCTTCTAATGTTAAAAAAAAAAACCTATCCTCCTGTAATCTAAGCTCATAAAATGTAGTCCACCCTGAGGGGAGGAGAGCACAGCTTTGCTCTGATAACAGGTATCCTTTCATTTTCTTTCTACAGACCAAACTTCTATCTAGTTTCTTCAATCTTTTCCTCAGAGAACTTGCTTCAGTTCTTCAAACATGTTCTTTGTAAGTTGTGCAAATAACCCAATAGTATTTCAAAAATATTGAAAAGGGGATTTTTTAAGGGACCATTTTATTCTGTGTTTTTAATCTTCTTATTATTATGAGTTTCAATATGATACTTGTTTAATGCTTTTTAAATATTGTAATTATTTATTATTTGGCTTTTAACTTTATTTCTTTTAAATGCTGTAAAGTCACCCTGGATCCTTCCGGAGAAAGGCAACATGCAAATAGTTTAAATAAATAAATAAATAAATAAAACGTCTAGAGTTGAATGAAATACTTACTGTCTCCTGTTCTGGGAAGGACTTGGGGGTTGCAGCCAAGATGAGATCCGGGGGAGGTTTGGGCACTTCATGGACATCCTGAGATGGTATCCTGTGGACAAAAAAACTAGGGGATTCAGAGTGTTGTTGTGATGTTTCATCATCTCACTCCAAGCCATCCTAAAAGAGCTTTCAAGGTAAGTGAGATATTTAAGGATTGGCTTTACCAGTTCCATTCCCCCCTCCCCTCAGCGAGCTTCCATGGCTGAGCAGAGATTCGAACCCAGGCCCCTGGAATCCTCATCCGTCACTCTTATCCACTGCAACGCACTTGGCGAGATTTGAAATAATCCCCCGTCTTTGAGTTCTCCAAAAGCACATCCTGAAGGCTCCCTCCTGTGGAAAATCCAAACCTGCTCATGTACCACAAAGATTATGCTTCTCGCCATTTCTTTGTGCCACCTGCCATAAACCAAAGGGCAGCAGAGGGGTGGGACAAGGAAGGACTCACTAACAGAAAGGCTTCTCTGAAAGCACTCCTGCAGTATGGCTCAAAAACATATTCTGTGGAGCAGCAGTTCCAGGTTCCTGAATTAAATGTACATTGGAGGCAAGTGCAAAATATGGGTAGAGATAGTCCTTGTCCATAAGTTTCTTCAGAGACAGAATTTGCCTGCAAATTTCTTTCACAGACCCATGTATTTCTATTTCCCCCCAAATGGGCATGTTTTCAGCTGTCTAACTTTGAAGCAAAAGGGGGTTATGCTACTGTTAGTTGGAAACTCTTGCTGATACATTGCAAATTACCTAAAACTTGACCTGTTGGTTAAGAGCATATTTTGCCTGCCCCTGTTGTAGATGGACCAGCATCTGGGTTTCATCCCATGTTTGGTTTCTTTTCCTTATGACAGGTCATAAGAGTGGAAGATTATTGAGAGCCTTGTTATCCTGCTGTTTTCCACTTTCACACTCAATAGACATTCATTTCACACAACAAACTACTTACATAAACATATGCATTAAGTGCCCATGGATTTTATGTTTCACTTGCTTTGAAACTGAGAGAAAAAATCTATTCTTCTTACCATTGCAGTGTTCATTCTGAATGATCATGTGATCATCTTCTGCCCAAGCAGAGTAGTAGCGCACCACGTGGGGATGATGGCCAAGCACTGCATGGGCATAAACTTCTCGCAAAGCCATTTGCCTATAAAGGCAAAAAAGAAAAAGAGAAAGGACTCACTATTTAAACTATATTATTTGGGATTGCAGATTTTGATAGGAAGGAATTATTGCAGCCAGATGTACTGCCGATGGAGATTCCCTTAAAATTTCTGGTCATGTCGCCTTTATTAGAAAAAACTAGTTACAAGTAATGTAATAACTTATAGTTAGTTAATTTTAAAATGAAATCAGTAACAATTATGTTATTGTCCCCCACAACCCAGGCTATTGGATATATTGCACATTTCAAGACCAATAATGCTAAGAAGTGCTCACTGGAAGGACAGATCCTGAAGCTGAGGCTTTGGCCATCTCAGGAGAAGAGAAGACTCCCTGGAAAAGACCCTGAGGCTGGGAAAGTGTGAAGGGAAGAGGAGAAGGGGACGACAGAGGGCGAGATGTTTGGACAGTGTCATTGAAGCTACCAACATGAATTTGACCAAACTTGGGGAGGCAGTGGAAGACAGGAGGGCCTGGCATGCTCTGGTCCGTGGGGTCACGAAGAGTTGGACATGACTAAACGACTAAACAATAACAATGCTAAGAAGAGCTGGCCACAGGGGAAAAACTGGTTTATCATTGCCAGCTACTACAGTGAGTTTCTGTGGTGGAATAGGAATTTGAATTTGGGTTTCCAGAATCATAGTCCACAACTCTATCCACTGGCCTTTTATTTGTCCCTGTCAGATAACTCTGGGTATTACATGTGGTAAAATGAAGAACACTCCCTTTTCTGTCTCTTACCTTTGGTGATAATAATAGGGTGCCCTCAAGTAAATTCTGACTTACAGCAACCCTTTTTCAGGAATTTCTAGGTAGAGATTACTCAGAAGTAGTTTACCATTCCCTCCTTCTAGGGTCACCCTGGGACTGTGCACCTTGCCCAAGGCCACACAGGCGGGCTCTACTGGCAGGAGGCACAGTGGGGAATCGAGCTCCCAACCTCTGACTTCATAATCAGATACCTGGCTCACTGAACTATCCAGACAGCTTCTTTTACCACTACCCATTTCGGTACCTGGCTAAAATATTAACCTACACATTGAGATGGAAACATGTTTAGAAGATGAAGATATTGGTGCATAAGTGCACGAACTGGGTGTTCCACTTACTCATCTGAGGACCCAGCTAGAGGCCTCTTGGAACGCTTGATAGCATAGACGCACCCATCCAGCCTTTTGATGCATTTGTAGACGGATCCAAATTCCCCCACACCAATTTTCTCCAACTCCAGGAACTCCTTCATGTAGCGGGAGACCATGTTGTTCTCTCGCAAGAGAAATCTCTAGGATCGAGTGAGGAAAAAAACTGCTTACATTAAGGACCAATTTGTGTTCACCAAACTTCATGCACAACTTGTAAAGATCCTGTGAGACACAGATCGTTCCATTGCAGCTGTGTTTGGTGTACAGAAATACACACATAGGCATGCACAAACTCAACATCACGATCTGGTTCAGTGGAAAAGTTCCCGACTGTTTTCCTGCTTTCAAGGTTATTCATCTTGTGAAGAATAGATAGAGTGATGTTGTAAGTCAGTTTGCCTTGTGTGGTTCCAATTTTTTACATCATCATCCCTTTGCCTTATAATAGAAGACCACCTCCATCTGGCTATATCTTTTCAGAAATCTCAGAGGTTCCATTTTTATGCAGAAACAATCCCACAAATAAGAAGAGGCAAATTGCAGATGTCTCTGTGTGATTTCAACAAAGCCCTTTTCCAGCTTTCTTCAAGCTTGTGCCTTCCAGATGGGTTGGAATATCCCCTGCTGGCCTACTCAAGGGCCACACTGGTTGGGGAAAATAGAATTTGTAGTCCAACAGGGCTGAAGGGCATCAAGTTGAGGAGAGCTGTCTAATTTTGGCCACAATTCATGCTTTATTCTAAAGGGGGGAAATAGTAACAGAGACAAAAGCACCCTTAAGTATCAGCCTGTTTTTATTCACCAGAAGAGGGCAATGTTGCTTTATCTCTTAAAAATTCCTATTGGAAATACACAAATCCATCTAGTAAACACTACTAATTGTGCACAGTGACTCCATGCTCGGGGGAGAGTAGCTGAAAAGGGATTTGCACATCAGAACACAAGGACAGGCAGCAGAAAAGATTTATCTAACACAATGCAATATTCTCTGTTTTCTCTACCATGGACACACAATCAGAGGCTTTCTGAATGTTTCATTTCCTCCCTGGTCACCAATACAATCATTTGAATAATTATAAGATTAAAGCCTTAAGGCAAATCTACACATACAAGAACAAACATAAGAGGTTAACCCATCCTACACAGGGCTGTACCACTGCTGAATGAATATTTGGCTTTCCACATATTCCACCATTTCATCCAAAATTTGTTGTGAATAATTGCATGTGTCAGGGCAGTCATGCAGTGGTTTCCCTCTTCCAGTAGACTGGTCTTTGAGCCACTGGTCATGCACCTGTGCAAAACTGAGGACAATCTGGTGGAGAAGGGAATTGTTTGAATGACTGGCCTTGAATTCTGTATCTCCCCAACAGGACAGTACTGGTTATGGATACTTTCAAATTAAAGGCTTCCAATAAATTAGAGCTTTCTCTCCAGCTTGCTAGACCCTCATCTTACTTCAAATGTCACCATACATATTTCTAAATGTACTTCCTGTCAAAACACACACCTTAAACACCTACACCTACTGGGGCTGTTTCGGACACGAACTGTGCCAGAGCATTTGCGAAGTGTGGAAGGCAGTGGATGGCTGAATTGCAATTGACACACTCATCTGTTCCATGTCAGAACTGGTAAAGGTCAAATTTACCCACGATCATGAATAGGTATATCAATGGCCCAATGGCTAGCTTTATGCCTCATCCTATCCTACTGTTTATGTTACAACAGTTTGTTGCTTAGCCCTGGAGAAAGAGAGCGAGAGAGAGCGCCACACCTTTCTGCTTTGTTCCTTTTCTACTCATTTTTTTCAGCCTCTCTTTTATACCTTTAGATTTCAGGCAGGGATCAGATGAAGCAAACAAAGGGTCATCCTTTTGCAATTGAAAGTCGATCTGAATTGCACTTATGTTTTAGTTTTGCTAGTTGTTACTACTGTATTTCTCGGTGCGCTTCTATCCTCCAACCAGCGCACATGGCTTTGTGAAAATATAATTACAATTTTCTTTGAAATGCTAACATTAAAGAAAAAATAGAATCATGGAATAATTATCTGACTTTAAGGGGACTCGTGTTGCACCAAGAGTGCTTTTGATTGTTGCCATAAGCCAGTCGTTGCTTTCTCCTTCAAACAAAGAATCAAGTGGCATTGATCTACCTGTACTCTACTTACCTTGGCTGGCAACCCCAGCTCCATCGAACCCCCTTTTTGGCTGGAATCATCCCTACAACAATAAATTCAGTCACATGTGGCATCCTAGTGCAAACATAAGAGTCAATAAGCCTTTCGTTTCACCATTTAAATATTTAAACATGAGCTTCAGGAACTACTCAAGCTTTATAAAGTATTTATACAGGCACGTCTGTGTGGAAGTGTACAGAGACCACTGAAAAATTCACTCTAAGACCACAAAGGCTACAGCCTTTAGCTTGGGAGATTCATATTTTAGATTAGGATTAATTTTAAGGCCCGCATTAATGCACCAGTCCTTGATACCTGGAGACACTGGGACTAGCAATGTGGCATTTTAATCATGGAAAATCCAGGCCCTGACTTGTGAAATCCAAGACTCCAGGGCTAGCCTGAGAGAAGGCAATCATCCAACCTCAACAGACTCCCAGAGATCAATTCAAATTTCACCTTTTCTTTCTGTGTTTTTAAAATGGAAAAAAAAAAACCCTCTTGTACTCAGAAGAAGAAAGTAAACCAGCTTCCCAGCTGGCCTTTGGCATCCCAGCTCATGTACGAGTGCAATATTCATCGTACGTCAACAATGCAAGCAGTTGGTAGGCTCATTGAAGACTCCAATCCATGGAGAGCTGGCATACTGAATACACCACTATATATTTTTCTCTGTTATTTTTACATTATCTTTTTCCTCCAATGAGCTCAGGGTAACATATATTCCATTCTTCCTGCATCTTATCTCTGTAACAACATTATGGGGTAGGTCAGACTTAGGGAGAATAAGTCACCTATCATCCCCAGGGACTCTCCTGGACCTCCAAAGTTGAACTCCAATGCTGCAACCAATACAACCAATGCTGTCTCTCTATGTCGCTGCTTTAACTTGTGTAAATGTTTCACCTCTGCCAGCTAATCACAGGTTTTAGAGCAACAGGCGGTTATGTCTCCTGTTTATTGTTCTGCGAATGGTCACTGAGAGATAAGCGCAGGAGTCATTTACAAATCAGCCTGGAACCTCTTGTGAAATATGGTGCATCTATGTTAAATATTAAATAAATATTATTATTTGTTTTAACATTGTGAGCCGCCTTGAGTCCCCTCATTGGGGGAAATGTGGTCCGCAAGTGATACAAAATTAATTAATTAATTAATTAAATGAAAAAAAAAGACATTACATGGGAAATGAATGAATTACTTTGCAGACACACTTTGCTTTCAAGCAATGTGCTTTTGGAGGGACAACATTTTACCAATTTTTTGTGAGAAGCTGCTGTCTAGGTGTGCCCTTTGCAATGAGCATCATAAGCCCAACACTCACCACAAAATCTTAAATGCCATGGAACATAGATTTTGAAAGCGACCGGATGAATTCAGTGAGTAACCCATTAATAAGGTATCTTATTGTGAGAAGCAAAACACTCACAGCTCCCCTCTCACTTTCCTCTTGCCGCTGGGATGGAAAACCATCTGCCGATAGGACTCGGGTGTAAACGGGTTAATGTTGACCAAAGGAGCTGCAACGGGATCTTCAAGATCGGTGCAAGAAGTGAAGCGCAGATTTCTCATCCCTTTCGGAGGGTATTTTCCCACAGGTGAAGGAAAGGTTGTCTTACTCAAGAGACTCTACAGCAAAACAAACCAAAATGATATCCATTCAGAGTGCTTACTAGACCATCAGCATTATACAAGCATTCTACATCCAAAGAAAAAGACCTGAACCACAGTAAGTAGTTCTCCATAAGCCTCATGGCGCAGTGGTTAAAACGCGGTTCTCCACAAGCTCTTACAGTAACAGGCGGAAAACTAAAATGAGACCATTCCTGGCTTGAACCTTATGGTTTAAAGACATGACACAAAACAAAAAAAGGGATAAGAAGAGAAGCCCACTACTGGTTTGTAGCATTATGTGGCTTTTGTGTCAAACAGCTGATGCAGCTATAAGTTGTTTTTTTTATTGCAAACTTCAGTGATACTTCACAAGGTGTACTGCATAATACGGTTATGCATTCAAAGCGCAACTGCATTACAGAAAAAAGAATGCATGCTTGACCAAAGGGCCATCCAACCTGGGGGCCAGAATCCTGTTACTTACACCAGTGTTGAGTCAAATGACATAAATCTTGGCAGTGAACTTCCTCTAGTCAGAAGTCAGCAATTATACTGTTTGTCATGCTTCAGCCACTCAAACTGGCACAGAATAAGAAATGCAAGCACTGGATTCTCAACTGGCAGCAATTCACCACTATGTTTGACGCCATTGGACTCATGTCGGCATAAGTAAATGATTAGGATTCTGGCTAGTGTTCACTTTCCAAAGGGAACAGTGTTGGTGAGCCAGCTGTACCTGGAAAGCTGATAAGCAGGGGTTAAAGCAAAGCAAAGTGTGCTGCTTATATACCACCCTATAGCGCTTCAAGCACTCTCTGGGCAGTTTACAAGTTAATTATGCAGGCTCCACATTGCTCCCACCCCCAGTGAGCTGGGTACTCATTTTACCGACCTCGGAAGGATGGAAGGCTGAGTCAACCTTGAGCCGGCTACCTGGGATTTGAACCCCGGGTTGTGAGCACAGTTTTGGTTGCAGTACACTGCGCCACGAGGCTGTTCTTTGGATAAAGCCAAAAATCAAGCAAAGGATGACCCCCAGCTTCTGGAAACCATCTTCCTACTGTGCTAGTCTCCAAGCAACTGAGTTTTTAAACATGGAACTTCCAAACAACACAAACAGTCCAGTCAATGCCTTCCCACTTGGTGCTGCTTACTGTGTCTACTCAACAACAATTTAGACCACTAGACTCTACTTGATGAGCTACTGCCCACATTTGGGTACCAGTCTTTCATAGAGCTGAATAGTACAATGAGTCCCAGTTTTCTATGCGGGGAATGAATTTGTAAACACACAGGAGTCTAATGTTGTGAGTGGGGAACATCTAGCACTCTAGACACTATGGAATTCAGCTCCTAAAATCTTCATCCAGTATAAGCAAATTGTTCAGGTATTTCGGGAAATGAGTCTAAAACATCTGGAAAGCGAAAGGTATTCTATCCCAGCTAGGCTTTGTCAACTCTAACTTGCTTTGCCAAATTTCTTAACCCACATTCAAAGTTCACAGCCCCAATCAGAGAGAGAAAAATAATCTAGACACTATGGAATTCAGCTCCTAAAATCTTCATCCAGTATAAGCAAATTGTTCAGGTATTTCGGGAAATGAGTCTAAAACATCTGGAAAGCGAAAGGTATTCTATCCCAGCTAGGCTTTGTCAACTCTAACTTGCTTTGCCAAATTTCTTAACCCACATTCAAAGTTCACAGCCCCAATCAGAGAGAGAAAAATAAATTTTTTTTTTTTCCGTGGCTGGCACAACCGGTTTGCATACTGGGAGCTGTTGTCCATCTGAGCTCGGGCTTAGATGGAAACAGCTTGTCCAGCCTCGGATGTAGAAGAAGAGAAAAGGCATAAGTAGTAGTTACGGAGAGCTACTTTCTATTGTGGTGGGCTCTGTGTCCATCTCATCAAGCAGTTGCTCTCCACTGTCTCAGGCAGGAGTATTTACAACAGGACCAGCTCAAGCTATTTTGCTGACTAGGGCAAAGGACAAGAACGGGCAACTCCCTGCCCTGCATACCATGTACAGAAGCAAAGCTGGGCTAGAGAACTCAGGAGTCATGAATGCTCCAACTACCGTACAATGGCATTCATTTCACACGCTAGCAAGGTTATGCTCAAAATCCTCCAAGGTAGGCTTCAAGGTATGTGGACCGAGAACTCCCAGAAGTACAAGCTGGATTTCGAAGGGGCAGAGGTACTAGAGACCAAATTGCTAACATGTATTGGATTATGGAGAAAGCCAGAGCCAGTGGAAGACAGGAGGGCCTGGCGTGCTCTGGTCCATGGGGTCACAAAGAGTTGGACACGACTAAATGACTGAACAACAACAATGAATGGTATAATCTGCGGAGAAAAGCTACCCTATTTTGGGAGTTGTCCAAACTATTTTAAGTTAGTGGACAATGAGAACAATTACATGTTTAATTGTATTTCAATATTTAATACAGATTTTCTTTTTAATCTTTTTTTGTAATGACTGGTGGAAGCCCTGAGTACTCCATGTGGTTAAGGATTGAACCTTGGACCTTTCTGTACGTAAAAACGTCTGCCTTATAAACAAGCCGTTGTCTCTGTCACACTGTGGACAAATCTATATGAACTGCAGCTGGGATATCAAGAGTCAGTCGTCAGCCTCGATTTTCTGTCAGCAAGGATCTCTGAGACTTAAGAAACAGAAAGGAAAGAAAGCTGCTTCTTTTAGCAGTGCTACAACAATTGGGGTGGGATATTTTTGGCAGTAAAGCTGGCACTGAGCCGCAGATGTCAGTGGAGTTCTCAGCCAACCATCTTAACAAGCAGGAAGATGAAGGGGATTTTCTAAACTGCCCCATTTCAAATTTCAAGAAAGCAAAACACAATTAAAGAATCAATCAGGATTGTGTCTTTATAGCCCACAGAGATTTCATATCTGAGCCCGGGACAAGGAAATGACAGAAGCTGCTTTGAAGAGAAGCTGTTCTTGCAATACGGAGGGGTATTGCTGGCTAGGAAAAAACACACATCATTCTGTATGCTCAACAGAGAAATTCAGTATATTCTTTTGACAATCAGAAACTCATCTGCCATTCCATAGCATGTATACAAGAGTGAGGTGTTATGGTAGCAACCTACACTCAACATCTCACACTCAACCTTGCTATCCCAGTCTTGGGTCCCCAGATGTTTTTGGACTACAACTTCCAGAAATTCTGGCCTGCACAGCCAATATTGAAGGGTTTGGGGAGTTTTAGTCCAAGAACATCTGGAGACCCAAGATTTGGAACCACTGATGTAGAGCGTGGAAGAGTTCCATCCTTGGACAACTCTAAGGACCTGGGCAATGGTAAGAGGAAGGAGGCAGAAGCCCTGAAGGTGCAGTGCCGATTCCAGACATTTTGTTTCTTGACAAGGTGAGAGCTGTTGACAAGATGAATCTTGTGACAGCAGGTTGGAGAAGGGATGAGGTAGACCATGTGCCACAGACATTTTTGTCCTCCAACATCTTCCCACCTCCCAGCACCTTGTCACCAGAGGCAGATGCTTGCCCTGACAAGGTCATCCTGCCCAAGAATCAAATAAGTCCTCTTCTCTCTCACTGTAATCTGAATATAAAACATATTGAGTTCAACTCCAGTACAAACTGCAGGAACAAGGTGCTAACAGGCTTACAATGGGCCTTGTTACAGCAAAGAGTCATATGCTTTCTGCTAGTGTTTTAGGAAATACAGTGCCACTAACCTAGGGGGCCCAAGTGCTATTGTTAGCCAAGACACATTAGTGGTATATTTCTCTTCCTCACTTTTTGCATAAGTGCAAAACGCTTTCTATAATCCAGAATAATAGAAAGGTATTCCTTGCAAGTGCAGAATATCCTGATTCAGTTTTGTTCCCTCCTTCTTTTCCCAATACAGTAGGAAACCCATATCTGCTGAGATTGGTTCCAAGCCCCCCGTGAATACTGAAAACCACAGATAATAGTGAACACTATATAGAGAGCATGATAACTGAAAACAGATTTTTTTTCTACATACATTACCAGAACTGGCCACTAGAGGCTGTCAGAGACCATGCTACCCTGTTTCCCAGAAAATAAGACCTAACCTGAAAATAAGCCCTAGTCTAATTTTTCAGGATGCTTGTAATATAAGCCCCTAGCCCCCAAAATAAGCCCTAGTTAAGTGCAACCCTGCCCTCCACCTTTGTGCAGCAACCAGAAGATGACATGATTGTAAAATAAAACATCCCCTGAAAATAAGCCCTAATGTGTTTTTTGGAGCAAAAATTAATATAAGACCCTGTCTTATTTTTGGGGAAACACAGTATGTATTGGTTGTTGTGTTTTTTTCGGGCTCTTTGGCCGTGTTCTGAAGGTTGTTCTTCCTAACGTTTCGCCAGTCTCTGTGGCCAGCATCTTCAGAGGACAGCACTCTGTGCTCTGGTGCAGTTTGTATGGCACATATTCATCATTAACATGTACTGTATTTGTACCAATGTTTCCGTCTCCCTCTAGTGGTCAGTTCTGGTAATATGAAAATATGTATTTCTAGGTTTTTTTTCTTTTAATATTTTTAAATTTTCATACATCAGAAGAGTGAAACCACGGATACTGATCCTGTGGATGCGGTGGTCCTACTGTGTTAATCAGGGACCCTCTCATACAGTGCAACCTCTAGTTTTTTTGTGGGGGGGAGAAGGGTTCCTATCAAAGAAGTGCAAAGATGTACTCTGAATACCAAGGTCCAAAGTTTAATACTTGATAACTCCATCTAGGGCTAGGAGAGCTGCTGCCATTCAGTCGTAGACACTTGTAGGTAAGTGAATAAATTGTCTGCGTGGCTGTTGGGCAACTTCTGACTTTCAAGAGAACCACAGCAGTGGCTCTGTCTTTCTTTCTACATCACTGCCCACTGAATTTTCAACTGGTTCTGGGCAGATTCCCCCCGTTGCTGGTGGTCAGTGCTGAGACTTCTGTAAAGGTGGGAGCATGGAGAGATACTTCACTCCACACTTCTGTGCAAGCTAAATCTGAGCACCCTGTTTCTTTCATTGCCCGTATATCGGTGTAGGAAGATGTACAGGCCTCTCAAGTGGAATGGTTAAGGTATTCAATGGGGCAGCTTCATTTGAAGGCATTGTGCAGCTCCTTTGGGAGCATGAAGCCCGGGTGCAGCCTCCGAGACTCACTTTAACTCAGAGCTGTCCCAAGACATTTTGCTGACTGAGACAGAGGAGGAAATGTCCCCATGCACCTTAAATAAAGATACACAATACTCATAGGCATCTTAGCTATTTTGGCATGAAAGGCCAAAATCCCATCATCGCGTCTCCCCATCACTGACAAAAGAAGTACAACAGCAGGAAAAGCAGCAAACACAATAATTAATAATCAGCTGCCCTTTCGTGACATCTGAATCTGCTGTCAAGGGCAGCTACCCCACTATTCATGCTTTGTGGGGGAATTCTAAGACTTGTAGTGCAAAAAAGTAACTTTTCCAAGCTCTGATCAAGTTTAGCACAGTATGAAGCCTACACATACTTGGCAACACTGAATTTCAAGCGTATTGAAGCTTGAGGGTACTTTTCATAGAAAAAAAACAGAAAACAAATACACTGGACGAAATCCAAGTCTTAGTCTTACTTTGAATTGATCTAATGAAATCAACGAGACTTCTTGGTCTCAACTCATTTAGATCCCACGGATTTCATTGGGTCTACTCAGGGTAGGGTTTAGATGGATTCAGCCCCTTATTTTTGTTCCTGTCACCTTACCTTTGGGGTGTTTGGGGTGTCACAGAGCTGCAGCTTTTGCCAAGTGACATAATGCAGGGGGGTCCCCGGATAATCCTTCAAAGGAGAGACTTTCTTTCTTTGAGATTCCTTGCCTTTCCTCGTTGGACTTGGCCAAGAGGTTGAAACAGCTGCCAAGAGACCCTCTGGCTGCCTTTGTGGGGTAACTGGAACAGGACAATTCACTCTCCAGTTCTGGGACTCCCAGTTTTTTGGTGGGGTGATATGTCTCGGCTCTTCCTCCTCGATGCAATGGTCCTCTTCCAGCTCCGGGTCTTCTCCACAGCTTGAAAAATCCAACCTCTGGATGAAGTTGTTACTGTCATTCCATTCATCCATAGTAGCTGTGAAAAGAGAGAAAGCCTAACATGTATAGAGACAAGAGGTGCCAGTTTCCATCTCAACCATGCCTCCAGAACAAGGGTGGCAACACCAGAAATCTTGGTGGTACATACCTGCCCCTAAAACCCAAACTCCAAACACAGACTGTACAATCTATTTTTCTTCTTCTTAATGGGATAAGTATTTGTACCCTCTAGTGACCAATTTGAAAAATGGAGGTGTGGGGAGAAGGCACGATGGAGGCCTCTCAAAATATACAGTGGCCCCTCGACTTACAGACGGCTCGACTTACAGACTTTTCGAGTTACAGACTTCTCTGGCCGCAAAATTTAGATTTGACTTGCAGCCGGAGAATCAACTTACAGACCAGAACAAAACAAAAATGGAACAAAAATAGAATAAAAACTGCCAGTTATAGGATTAATTGGTTTTCAATGCATTGTAGGTCAATGGAGATTCAACCTACAGACTTTTTGACTTGCAGCCACCGTTCCAATACGGATTAATTCCGTAAGTAGAGGGTCCACTGTAACAAACGTGCTCCCATGCTCCCTTTAGGACATGAACCCTTTTTGAGCCCCATAATGGGACCTGCATTTGGGCCCCTGGGGGGCCACACATTGCCCAAAGGCCGCATGTTGTCCAGCCCTGCACTAGAAATTATACCAAACCTGCTCCCTATTACTAGTCCCAGTGAAAACAGACCCACAGAAGCAATTACTGAAGAATAAGTCAATGCATATGGAAAGCCCTTTGATGAAGTGGGTCTGCCTAGTTGAGACTTAATATAGTTAATACTCTCCATTGCTAGAATTGCCACCATTGGTAACAGTAACGAGAAAATACTACAACGGAGTCATAACAGAAAACCTTGCATTGGAAAAGAAAATCCCTTTTTCACACCGAGAGAGGCACAGCCTGAGGAGATTCCTCAGAAACAAACAGATAATATTAAGCCTGATATTTTATGTCTGTTCCTTGGAGGGAAACTCCCACTAAAACCCAGTGGGATTTGTTTCCAAGCAAATACAAATAGAATGAGCCTGTACCCAGGTTTTGCGTTCATTAGGAAAAAAGCATTCAGCCTACAGCTGGTCTCACACAAGGGTTGAAGTCAGTCCGCACACACGCCGGCTAGTCCGAGGAAGGTTCTGCATAATAACCCCTTTATCCAGATCTCCAGACCACAGAAAGAAGGACCCTCTACTCTGTGCAGGTGCAAAGGCTCTCAGCCAGCTAGCAAACATTTTC